ACATAGATCGCTCTGCATAGGCAAGATGTACGGCAACAGCTTCGTCGCCGCTCTCAACGACCGCTTCTTCCGCCCCGACGAACCTATGCACGATTTCGACACCGAGCGGGCGTTGAGGACGGATGAGTCGACTGCTATTGGGTTCGCACAGGGAGCTGGGGGTGCGCAGGAGGGAGGGACTGCTGTCCATCTGCGCGTACGGCCCGATCATGCCGGCGTTAACACCGGGTCCACGATGATGTCCTCAGTGAGCGGTGCGACGATGGTGAGTGTCCGAACTTCGTGTACGGCGGCTAGTTTTGACGACCGCACTAGTCGCCTATCGATGAGTATCCCCCTGGTCGGAGCGAGAAACCTCCACCCACCCCGGAGGTTGAGATTGCCACGAGCGTATAGCCCCACCATCGCACCAACGCTGCAGGCTGGACGGAGTTCGAGGAAGAGACAAGTAAAAAGAAATCCCTATTAAAGATCCTAAGCATGGACGGGTGACTGTACAGACTATAAACGAGTAGCGTGCGTAGCGAACCAAAAGATGTAATCGAGAGCATGAGGTGTGGGCAAGAAGTAAGAGGGGTGATGATGATGCGTGTAACGAGCATGAGCATGCGAGGGGGAGTTGGACGTGAATGTCTACTAGGGGGCAGAGGTGGGAGGCGCAGCGAGTAATGTATGAATACAGAGAGTGTGGGTGGGGATAACATCGACAAGAGCGCGAGCGAACGAGACGATCACAAAGCGGGAGGTCATGATGCAGCGCCCCAGCGGAGTATACCCTCGTAGATCGAGTACATGACTGCCGCATTGGGCACGACGCGCATAAGATGTGCGGTCAGACCACCATACATCGACCGCGCGCCCTCCTCGGCAAGCACAAGCTTGAACGTCTGTATCAAGCCAGTGTATTTGACTTTGCCGTCGACCAGCGGTTGCCGTAGTCGTGTGCGCAGTACTTCGTGCGGGTAGGTGATAAGGCTCGCAACGCACTTCGCCGTGCCTGCGCTACCGAGCATACCAGCCCACTCCGTCGCCGACCCCTTCTCGGCATTCTGCGTAAGGCGTTTTAAGCGCTCGTACAGCACCCATTGGATCGTGCCCTCCGTCACGCCCAGATAACTTGCACTAAGGCCCTTGTAGAACCCTCGGACACCCTCTTCGACGAAGATTTTACGGATCATTCCTGTCGCCGCGTGCTGCTCGCCCGAACGCTCTGCAAGCTGTAGACGCGTCTTGACGACCCAGATGGGATTCGTCACGGAGCCAGTGATGATACCGGCTATTGCGGCGGCGGACAGATGTACGTAGGTGTTTTCTTGGCCGTTGTTGAAGTGGTGCGCGATGAGTTGTTTGCCATTGCCGTAGGCGAAGAAGTTGATGGATCGAGCTGGGATGACGCCGACGAGTGTTGCACTCAGTCCCCTGAACAGCGCTCGCGGTCCTTCATCTCGTGCGATATCACTATAGCAACATCAGAAAGGGGTTCTTATAACATAGTATAGTAGGAATGAAGCATACCGAATGATATAACCCGTCTCCACAAAGTTGTATAACAGCCCTCCTGGCCTGCCGCCGAGGACAACCGCGCCCTCACCCATCCCAGCAACTGAGACGTGTTTTTGCCTGAACAGGTCGGATTGCAGACGCGTCTTGACGACATCAAACGGGCTCGTCACAATAGCGCCGCACATCCCACCCAGCCTACACGTTCAATCCATGAGCCGACGCGTCCAAAAGCGCACCCAAGTTCTGGAGTCGCGACTTACCCTCCTGCTACGAAGTGCAACCATGATTTAGCCGGTACAAAGCTAGACGATGACGTGGTCGTTGGCGCAGGAGTGTGCCCGGAGGACATTTTGAAGGAGTGGAGGGTGGGGAGGGTTAGGAGAAGGTGGTCGTCGGACGACAGGCTACTGCTGGCGCGTCCAACGGCAACTCTGCAATGAAATGAATGCTTGAAAATACCCACGTGGTGGAATTCTGATCGCCGCCCTGGCGAGCCACATCTGCCAGCCTACACCTGACACGGAATAGTGTTCCTTACGGTTATTCGGCCCTGAGACGCAACAGGCTCGTACACAGGATACATAGTGGAAGAGACCAAGGTCATCATCATTGTCCAGAGAAAAGGTATTGTTCTACGACGTACAATCCGACAGCTCAACGACAGCTAGGTGAATAGCTAGAACTCGAACGCGTACTGATAATGATACACATGCAGGACCAAAACCATCGACACAGACACAGACCGGGATATATGGTTAAGTTACATCGTCGTCAAGAGAGATTCTCCATATCATCGTGAAATTGTTCAGGTATCGTACACCAGCACCTTGCTCAAGAAGCCATTCAAGCGCCCGAGGTCGAGACGGGCCGTGTCGTTGGCGAGAGCAACTACAATGTCGTCCAACATCTGTGACAAAGAACCCGTCAGTAGATGCTACGACCGTGGCACAACACGAACAACATACCCTGTCGACCTTATCCACAGGCGTCCCCAAGCAAATAGAAATGATCTTCTTGCACTGGAACTCCTGATCCGCGCTCGCCCCATGCAGCCTCTCCAGCCTCTGCATCAACATCTCCTCCGCCCTCGCCTCCCAAAGCTTCAATCTCCTCATCTTCACCAGCGCATCCACGCTATTCTCCGCAGGCGGCATCGGCTCGCTCACAGGCTGCTTCCCATCATCGCGCGGCATAGCGGTGCCGGCTTTCAACGCGAACGGGCCCTTCGTTTCGCCAGCTAACCGCCCCGTCCAGTCCACCTCTTCGACCTCTGTCAACGCCCGCCGCACATTCCTCACGCGCTGCTGCGCACGTTCCAGATCCGCCTGCCGAGCCTGCCACGCAGCGATCTGCTTCCTCTGCTCTGCCAGCTCGCGCGTCGCGGCGCGCAAATGCGCCTGCGTCACATCGAGCGCGTCCTGCTTCGACTTCAACTCGTTCGTGAAATCGTTCGACAACGACTGGATCATGCGCGTCAAATCCGCCAGGACCTCCTGCGACTTCTGCACCGGGACAAGCGCGCTCGTTCGTAAGCTGGACATGGGGTTGTCCTCCGGCTTCGTCTGTCCGCCCAACTCCTCCTGCTCGACACCGAAATCGCCCGGCCTGAGCCCAAGCTTATTCGGCGTCGTCCTGCTCGCGCCCACATCCATCAAACTCCTCACAAGACTCCTATTGCCCACCCTCGCAGCGATATTCAGCGCAGTATCACCATGCTCGTCCTGCAAATTCACGATGCTCTTGAAATCCGCGTCCTCGTTCTCCATAATCCACACCAGGACCTGTTCTAGGTAATACCCCGCGACAACAGCTCGGTTTGGTAAACCGGCCATGGCGACGATATGGTGCATGACGCTCTTTCGCGCTGTGTCGACTGTGCGGATGCTGGGCGACAGAATGCCCACGAGCTCGTTGAACGTCTGATTCTCGAAATGGTTCGTCATGAGCGTCGCGCGTATCAGCGCCGTCTCGCCGTTATAGTTGCCCTGGTGCACGTCCGACCCCGCAGCGACGAGCGCTTCGACGGTGCGCATTCGGCCCATACTCGCGGCGATATGCAGAGCCGTGTGTCCGAGTTCGTCAAGCACGATGTCGACGCTGATGGCTTTGTTCAGGTCGTCGGGTGGTACGTCACGGAGCATTTCGAGGACTGCATCGGGGTCGTCTCGCTGTACGATGGTCGTGACGATAGGTGCGCGTCGGTGGTCCTTCAGCGGCGCAGAGCGGTCTCCTCGCGGCATCGCAGGTTTTGACGCCATGCGCGTCTTCGAATCATGTTGGCGAGGATCAGAGGCGGCCGTGCCATTAGGCTTCGAAGCTGGTGTAGCGCTCCCTGTCGGTACCACGCCATTCATAGGTTGCACATTCGGCGAAGGGACCCGTGTTGCGGCGGTTGTCTGAGTTGATGCAGCGGGTTCAGGTTGTGTAGAGACAGGCGACGGCTCTGTGACAGAGCCACCCGTAAGAGCGGGATCAATCATAGGCGCATCTGTTCTAGCGCGCTTCGACGAGGGTTCGTTTACGTCCGTACCGCTCGTCGTTGACGGCGGTCTTGATGCTATGTCGAATACATGTGAGTTGTCGCTGGTGCCGCCGAATGAAGCTGGGTACGCGGAGACACCGGATGTTGATGAGAAGGAGCCACTGTTCATCTGCGCTTGGATCATGGCGAGTGCATGCTGGTTCTGAGTTTGGCCATCTAGCGCGTCTGTATCGGAGTAGACGCGTTTGAGGGATTGTGCGATGGAGTGTGGCGTGGGTTGCGCGAGGGGTTGCGAGGAGGACGGGGGCCGCGAGAGAGGATGGGGGTACGATGTCGTGTAGGGTTGCTGCTGCGGAGGTAGGCCTTGCATAGGCTGTGAATGGCCGATCGGGGGTGGCGTAGGAGAGGCGCCGTGAGTCATATGGGAAGGTGTCGGGGAGAACGTCCCCGCAGTGCCGAATACAGTCTGGTTGACAGAGGAAGACGGCGTGAAGAGCCCTTGCGCTCGCCCTTGGTTGAGCAGTCGCAACGCGGAACCAGGCATAATAGGCGCGGAGGGCAACGAAGAAGAGTATCCTGTGACCCGCAGAAGTCAGTTCATTGCTGCTACGGCGGCGGATCATAAGGCGCTCTAACCTCCGGTGAGACCAGGCGGCAAAGAGCCCATCGAACCTGTCGAATTTGGCACGAAGTCGAAAAGAGGCGCCAGTAGGGCTGACACGCCGTACTGGGCGGCAATATCCCTGCCGCGCTCAAGTGGGATCCTGTTGGTGGTTAGCCAGACTCATTTGGAAACGACGACGATAACGAGCGAGACGGCGCGGCCCGAAGTTGGGGAGCGATAACGTGACCGTGCAATGGCTACGCGAAGGCGTGCTCCCTGCAGGGACGGGGCACCAGAAAAGGCTGCGCGAGACGCGTCTTATGAATGGTCCAGTGTGAATCAGGTGGTATCCGCCGGCGCGAATCGTGAGAGCGCATGGAACAGGACGCGTCGGGTTATGCAGCGACGTTCTTCGGGTAGGCAATAGTATAGAACTGAGATACTAACCATGTTCCTTGGTATTTGCCGTACCCGCCCTGGACGATTTCGTGCTTTCCGGGCAGTATTTCTTTCTCAAGTATCTTGGTTCGTCGGCCCTTGTCGACGCCGGCGACCTTGAGAATCTGAGTTGCGTTCACATAAGAGTCGGACCGTCGGCGCATGACGGCTATGCTGCGAATCATGGCCTCATAAACCTACGCGACGCGTTGAGTGCGAGCGCGACGCGAATGATAACGACGCGTCGTTGGTTCAAAACAAACCGTACCTGAACCGAAGAATAAACGGCATTATAGATCTTTACTGGCTGGTTGGAGGCGGGCGCTTGTACCGGTGGCGGGGGAGGCTGGGGGCGTGAGACTTGAGGCTGATGCGGCGGCAGCTGTGGAGGAGGGCCCGCCAGCGGGAACTGGGGGTGCGAGTAGTCCATGGTCACCGAACGGGATCAAGACGCGAGTCGCGACGCGGCGCGCCGCGCGACCGCGTTTGACAGTCAGTCACGTTGAACGTTTGATCATGGGAACGCGCTACCCCGACGGAAATGCTGCGAGCATCACTCTGATGGCTACGCTCACCAGTATGGAACAACTTTACTCTTCGCCAAATTGAGGAAAAGCGACGCGTCTGGGCACGCGAACGGCCAGGAAAGGGGCGCGTCGAGTGTCTCACGTCACGCGTGTCGTCGCGACTCCGCGCGGCGCGTCTAACACGCGAGCGAGCAGGCCAGCCTCAGACGCTCATGTCCTCCGGCTTATCAGAGTCCCAGCTACTCGAGGCAGAGCCGCTGCTCAGGCCAGATGTGGTCGAGAATACGCCTGTGTATCCGACTATACATGCTATCAAGGCGGTCAGTCTCGCTCGCTTCTACACTATGCATTGATCTCATGTTACCGTTTTCGTGCAGGATGTCATGGTGAGATTGGGATTGTCGACTTTGGTGAATGGCTCACTTAGCATATACTGTGGAAGATAGCACTTTATAGGTACGTTCTGTCTTGCTACATGGGAGAGCATACCCTCATTCGCTGTGGACAGATACGCCTTTGAGTTTCGAGGCGGTGAGTGGCGCTCGTCCCAAATGAGGTAGTCAACTGACTCTCCCATAGCTCACGGCACCTGACCTCACCTACACTCTTGTACGACCACTTGCCGAGAAATACATTCAGATGCAACGCGCTGGAAACATGTCCATCGTCTTCTGCCTGCTGCTCAACCGCGTCCACTTCCTTCGCGACGAAACCATGCTCACTCAATCTCTCTCGCGAACACGTGCCGAACTCTGCGAGATTTTGGCCATTCGCTGCCTGCGCGAGTATGGCGAGAACATACTGGATCTGGTCACTGTTTCCACCACAACGTGGAACGTCTACTCCGGCGCGGAGCCAGCTACCGTTGAGCGCGCTCGGCAGGAATATGATGGAGATCTCGAAGACAGGGTCGGCAATGCCATCGAACTGGCTATCATCAGCAGGGCGAAACGTATGATCAAGAGTAACCCCGGACAGAAGGTCATTGATGCAATTTGGAGGTTCGTAGTCTTGATTGTCGTATAGCACGCGTGTATACTGACATTATCCCAGCGGAAAATGTGTCTACACCGCTGCAAGCACTCATGCGTTTCTTTCGGATGTAAGCCAGTGGATCTTATACAGAGTTTCTCGCTCATCCTTCTTCTAGACCTACAAGCGCAACCCAGTTCACTTCTATAACCCGCGCAAGGCACCTTTTCTCGACCACTATAGGCATGCCAGTTTCCTATCATAGCGCCCTCTAGGTACTCACACTCGGTCGCCAGGTTGAAGGTCCCAGCAATACGTTCGGTTCTCGAGTTCATGAAGTGCGCTCGCTTCCTGACGTCTGCAGTATACTGTGCTCAAGGTTCTAGAAAGCTTCTCAATACTGTTCATCCTCTTCGTCGCGTGCATTGAGCTCAATGAGGCGACACGATTGAATACCTGGGAGGTCCTTTTCATGATCTACTCGCTCGGGTTCTCCCTTGAGAAGGTCGCAGCGATGCAGGAACACGGCGTGAAAGGCATGTCCTATAAGCACCATTTTATCCTCGTCATGCACTCACAGGCTCTCTGTCACAGTGTACTTTACAGGGATATGGGTTAGTGGCATACTCTTTCCCACTGTACCCTCGTTGACGCGCAATGCAGAATGGTTTCGATGTAGCATTCGGTACGTGTTCCCAATGTTCCCTTTCTAACTTGATCTGATTCCCGCCGCAGTCTCATTCTATGCGGCATACGCTACTCTGAGCTTATATGGGATCTATGGCCACCGTGAGAATTTGCTCTTGAGTGCTCCGAACGTTGCTCATGTCTGCCTAGACTACCGTTTCCGCGAACTAGGCATCGACTTCCTGGCATTGATCGCCATCCTACTCTTCCCTCGGTGAGCGTTATCTTCGCGACATCCGGGTCTTTGACTGAACCTCGTTCAGCCTTGTATTCGTCACCCTGAAGGACAACCTCATGATCCTCTCATTGCGAGCCATGCTCGCGCAGTTCGCTGCTCTCATGTTCATCGCAATGTTCTGCTTCGGTGGATTCTTGTATGCACTTTGGACGTACGTCTCTCGTTCGCTGCACTGCTCCACCTTTCACTGATATGTCATCTACAGCTTCAGCCGAAATGGAGCCGAGTACGTAGTGAGCTGAGGCGCGAGAGGCATCTCAGACTAACATGGACTCAATCGCACAGCTACAGCGCAAGTCAAATCGCATGGTGGATGGCCGACCTTTGGTTCGGTCTTGACGCCGCAGGGTTTGAGCGAGCTTGTAAGCGCATATCCCTGACTTAAGGCATGCAGTATCTGACAGATCGCAGCGCAATTCAGTACTGTCTTTGGTCCGCTGGTCATGGTTACCTATGCATGCTTGAGTAATACACTGCTGCTCACGGTGCTGGTCTCGGTAAGATCTTGTTGCCCCATGACGTAATTACTGTTGGCTGATGTACGCGCGTGTAGATCCTATCGAACACGTTTGCGACTGTCAGTGAAGACGCGGAGGCTGAGGCTCTGTTCCGTCGCGCAGCCTCTACCATTGAAGGGTACGCGCTCATCCCACGAACTTTACTCACGACTTGACGTTCAACGCCCGTTGTAGAGTCAAGGCCGATTCGCTCTTCTCCTACCAACCTCCCGTGAACATATTCGCGCTGTGCTTGCTATATCCGATGAGCTATGTCCTTACGCCGCGCTGGTTCCACAAAGTCAACGTCTTCCTTATCCGGTACGTCAAGTTCCATCGTCTTCCGATGAAGACCTCTGATTGACGTGCATAGACTTACGAATCTGCCCATTCTCGCTGGGATTTCCGTGTACGAGCGTCAAGCGCGGAAGCTTGATACCACAGGTCTCTCAGAAACAATCGAGGCCACAATGGAGCAGTTCATCGATGGTCTCCCGCGCTTCCTCAGAAGACTCAGTACGCGCACTCACTTTCGTTCTTTCTGAACTCAGTGGCTGACGCTGGCGTAGTACCGAATCTCTTCGAGGGCATGGCTGGTAGCGGCTCCGACATCGACATTATCTTCGAGATCGAAGAAGAGTACAACTCAGCACTCGACACGGACGATGGTCCCCCGCTCAACTCACGACCGCGTGCAGTCTCCTTCAACACAGGCTCCAACGCAGGATCAAGACGACAATCGCAGACAGGCGGTACTCGCCCGCAACCTTCTTCCTCCCCTACACACTCGAAAACGAGCGCTCTGCCAGCTCTCGCGATGCCGCGCCATCGTTTGACATCAATCCTACACGAAGGAGCCGATGCCGCTCGTACAGCCGTGAGCCCCCTCGCGCAGATCTTCCAGCCCATCGTTGTGCCCGAGATAAGTGGCTCCCCGGAAGACGCCGGTAATGGATTGAGTCCTGCAGGGAGCAACACCGGCAACGGTTCAGCACCAGTCAGCTATGGCCCCGCATCCCGTCGAAGACGCATATCGACCGTCGGAGGCGGTCTTCGACCCAGCGACAGCCACGGCCCATTCGGCGGCGGACTGCGCTTCCCGAGCAGCGCGAGTCACGGTGGGAGCTCACTGGGTGGTGCGGTCAGCGAGAGCCCGGAACGTTCTCCGAAACGCGAGGACGCGCCGGAGGTTGAGACGGCTGTTGATGCTACGGATGAGGATGCTGAGCTTGGGCCTATTGAGCTTACGAGGAGGTTGGGTGAGATTGAGAGGAGGCAGCAGAGGATCGAGGATCTGTTGGGGCAGATTGCTGGGGCTTTGCGCAAGTAGATCGTGTCCGTAGGCACTGATGCGCATCAGCTTGTGGACTTTCGTAATGGATGGATTGTGGATTCTTGATCCGAGCTTTGTACATGCTTTATTGGCCATACAACTCACTTGCCAATGGCTTTGCTGATACCCTCTGGCTAGTTATACCATCCCAAGACCACCTCTTTGATATTTCGACGAGGCTAAGCAGTAACGGGAGGGTGCATACATAAACAAGAACTATGTATTAGAGATTGGCTTTCTTAGATCCCGAGATGATCACCGATTCGTCAATACTTCCCGCGTAGCGACCAATCACGGGCGCCTGGGCTCAGACAATCAGTCATCTCGTGGGCGCTACATGCAGTAAATGAATACTCACCGTGACATGATGCTCCGTGGACACGCGTAGATCGGATGAACGGCGTGGTCGAAGATCAATTGCAGTGTCCTCGCTGCGACTACTGTCGTCGGAGAAGTGGATTGTAGCCAGGCCGCCAGAACGGAGGCTGCCGTGCGTCGGCAGGCTCTGACTGGAGTGGTATGTGCGCTCTTCAGAACGGAAGAAGCGATCATTGAGAGCCGCTATGAAGCTATTGGCATAGAGTTTACAAATGAAGAATGCCCTTCGCGATCAGAGTATTCAGCGGTTGTCGCTCAATACTCAAGAGGATGAGCTCACGGTATTTCCCAAGCGTTACCACTGGGACTGTGCACATACAGCCCGAGTGTCACACCAGCCATAGTAGCAGTCAATACGCCTGTCGATATCACGACGAATATCAGGCGATCGTACAGCGACCGTGTGTCCGTCCATGCAGAGCTCCGTGCACGGGCATTATAGAGCTGGGTAGACATGTGCGTCGATGAGATTTTGACTGCTCAGGATACCATCGCACACACCGGGATGAAGATAGAAACTGCGATGAGCAAATCCGCGACGAAACTTGTCACAAGGTCAACCTTGAAGACACATGATCAACTAGGGCACATATACTCAGGGATCCAGGTCTGCGTACGATGATCGCATTCTCCGTACTTTGTGCAGTGCCAATCTGTGACTGCATGCAGTGGTGAGATAAAGCATCGATTATCCCCGCAAATGAAAACTCACATAGATGGTAAAAGCTACCACAGCGCCAAAGTGCGTGAAGGATAACTAGCAAAAGTCAACAGGAGCAGCAAGAGAACGTATTTCGAGCTCGTACCACGGTAGCCACGCAAGAGAACGCGCGTAATACGAAGCTTTCTGTGATCTGCCAAATGCGCCTGGAGGATCGTCATACATCAAGGACTCGTTCGTGAAGAATGCACATGCTTACCGTGCGTATGTGCATTGGACGAGCACCGCGACTGTAAAGGACGGGGCTCAGACAACCCTCTGTCCAAGAGTAGATAGTCCTACCGACACTAGACAGAGGACCTACGGCCAATGAGCTCCAGGGAGTTAGACCTATCAAAAGTTCTGGATCCCCCCAATGGGAAATTGCAAAGAACCAGAGAATATGTGCACAGAGGCAAGTCTCAAGAACATTGATCCAGACTATTATGTGCACTGGACAATGAAAGGATCTAGGTTGAGGATCAAACATACATACTCCACAAACAGATTGCTTGCCTATGATGCGCAACCATCCTCTGTCCTTCTTAGCACTCTGGTTGTTTTCGAAAAAGTCTGATGAATGCTTTGAATGAGACATAGAAGACATTCATGGAGTTCTTACACAGCTGGACGCAGAGCGTGCCCAGGAGAAACCAGTTGATACCTGTGCCGATGAGCTGCAAGGAGCCTTATTGGCAAATATGCAGTGTTCGATGCTATTGCCACTCACAATCGGACCAATCCTAAGGGCTCATGTCAATCTCTCTGATAGTTGAATGTCATGGTAAAGTACATGTCTGGTACTTACTGCGAGGAGGATGTGGCGGACATTTTGTCAAGATGACGATACGGCACGAGGGTAAGAGGGATTTTGTCCCCCCTTAAACCGCATACTCCGATCGTTATGTACTGTCCGAGGGTGATCTGATAGATATGTTGTACCCGAGCGGCCCCACAGCGGTCATCCTATAATGGCAACTACATGAACGCCCTTGCCGAAGTCGGTAGACGATCCACTATAACGGGTTCGTGCCCTTTCGTGCCGCAGTAAGTACTGATGAACGCTCGCAGGGCAGGAGCGAGGCTGCGCCTAACTACGTAGGCTAGTATCAGCAAGACTGAAAGCTCCTGATTATCCAGTGAACGAGGGATGTGGGAAGGGTCGATTTGTCGGGAGCATTTCTTGGACCGAGTGCATATATGAGTGCGAGTGATGGTGCTATGGCCACCGAGTGAAGTCTCTTGTGTACGGGAAGCATTTCTAGCGCCGAGGGGACATGGTAGCGCCACTTTGAAGTCAACTAAAGTCCGCAACAGTCGCAACTTGACTCAAACTTGACTGGGATCCGCAATCTACCCGTTCTGACGCGTTGTAAGGAGAGGGTCAGGAGTAGGAGAGAGTGGGGTTGGCTATAAGCTCATAGGCTCCATGCCTGTCCGATGGAGACAGCCCTATTGTGAGCTACGTTCGAGATGGTGGTTGTCTTCCACTCGCGACGCGCGGGCGCGGCGTGCGGGCTGTGCTCGGCCCGCACACCCGGGTTGTCAGGCAGCGCGTGGCAACACGCGCGATACGGTCCTGAAAACGCCCAGCGTTGATAGGACGCAACGGGTGGAACTTACTTACTTACTTACTTACTTACTGTTCGGCCGCAAACCCTAACCCCAACAGAACGATTGCGCGAGAGCACCCATGGCAGTACTTAGTAGCACGCTCACCTTGCACATTTCGGATAAGCGATAGCGGTGTAGGGATTTTGTAAGATCCTGTGTGTCAGCTGGCAAAGAGGCGAGCGAAGCTCGCCGACCCAACGCGGATGGTAATAGGCGGAGGATGAACGCGACGAACGGCGCAGCGCTGCGCAGCTGCGCTTCGCGTCGGGCTTGCCTCGGGGATCGTTCCCGTGCCCGAGTCGCGCCTGGAGCGCGGCGTCGAGCTTCCCTATCGCGAACCAACGGTTCGATGGACTCGATACTGTAGAACATATATATTAAGAGGCTGTACATAGGATGACTGTACTGG